GTATATTCATAAATATAAAGAAATTAATATTGACAGCTCCGATAAAGAGCAACCCTCACTGTAGAGCAAGCTGTAGCAGGTCTTCAGGTAGCGCGTGATGCTGATGGCCATGATGGTGAACATGCCGCACAGTCCGAAGATGTAGCAGCCGAAGCCGTAGTAGATGCACGTGGCGTTTCCGCCCAGCCACGCGTGGTGGAACGAGGACACGATGGAGATCGGGTAGAAGCAGATGCAGCCGAAGAAGTCGACCACGGCCAGGTTGACGCACAGCAGCTCCGAGCCCACCATCTTCTTCCTCCTGCGGTAACAGATGACCAGGACCAGCCCATTGCCTAGAATAGAGAGCAGAACTACAGAGGGGGAAGAAGAATCAGAATCAATCCTTTCACTTAAATCTCACACACTGAACCTTTAAGCTGCTAAGTGACAAAGGACCTCCACCACGTTATCACTAGTGCACAGTTTGTTTATCAAACCTTTTCGTTTTTTTGTCGCTGCCTGCTGCCAAAACCAAACCAGTTTCCAGAATTATATATCGTATAATTGGGCTTGCAACTTTAGTTTGATACTGAAAGGTCATGTCTGCTTCAGTTCCCGATAGAAGAAATCTGTGTTAAATGCAAAAAAGGCTGATTAACAATGGATGATTTCACAGAGAAGTAAATAAATTTTATGTGGTTTAAAGGTTCAGTGTGTAGAATTTAGTGATATCTAGTGTTGAAGTTGCATGTTGCAGCTGAACACCCCTCACCTCACCCTCTGCTTCCAAACATGAAAAGAACCTGTTGTTGTGTTTAGTTTGTCCAGTTTGAACCACTGTAAAAAACATGGCTGCCTCCGTAGAGAGGGTCCCCTCGATGTAAATATAAAGTATTTGAATATAAAGGGTCTTTTCTGTGGTAAAGGAAACTACAATTCGTACAATTTAGATGAAACAAACTAGTGAAAACATCATGAGGATTATTCTACATTACATTTCTGCCAATAGTTCCCTTTCACCCACATCTTACACACTGGACCTTTAATGGTAGTGTATTTATAGAACACTTCTCAAGACATACCGACTGCTCAAAGCACTTTACACTAAATTCACACATGTCAAAGTCACACAACACTCCAATTATAAAACGGCAGAGCCATCAGACACTTGGGACTGCAGGAGCTCGGCGTTAAACCACCGATCTTGAGGTTGACGTCCCCCATGATATAAATGACCTTGTCTTATTGTATCCAGCTACCTATATGTCCTCCCTGTGTGTAGACTATATATGTGTGTCACAGGACCGCACTAATTGCGAAGGTGACAACTGATGCTGTTGTGTATTATTTTTGTTTCTGCTACTCACACAGGAATAAACATAGTGTTTGTTATGGACTATTTCATGATGCAGTCTATTGGTGCTCTACTGCGATTATACTAAAAATAAACGACATTGCTCATTTTCATCATGAAGTTCAGCAGTGTGGCTCGTCTATGTGTTTTTTGTTGGTTTTACAAGAAAAAGGTTTCCTCATAAGACGACTTCACTGTTGGTTCTGGTTTCTCCGTGGGATTTGTTGACAGCAGGTCTTGAAAATCAAAGCGTCTCTAATTGGATCTGTAGATAATTGTCGAGTGGATCCCTGGAGCACGAGCATCGGTGGATGTCTTCAGGTCACAAGCTTCATTGCACTTTGCATTGTGCTTTTGTAGAGGTGGCATTTTCGACCACCTCAGCCAAGTGTAAAAAATATTCACAGCAGTGTCTTTCAGAGTTTCTGCTCTTCTTTTTTTTTTTTATTTCAAATTAAATTGAACATAAATGGAAAAATTAAAACCTCCAGAATATCATCAAAAGGAGGGGGGGAAAAATCTAACCAGATATTACTTTATTTAATATTTAATATCACCATATATATATTTTCTTTTAAATTTTATTTTATTTTTATCTCACAGGCGTTTGGAGACTGTGTCAGAGCAGCAGGCAGAACAACTACTTTACATATCAACAGTTACAGCGGCATTACTGAAACACACTCATTGGTTTAATTACTCCTTACTAACTGAAGTGTAATGAGCACTGAGTGTAACACAAGCATGTAAACAAACCTTCATTACTTTTGTTTGACCATGAAGCCTCACAAACAGATGTTAGTTCAATTTTCTCTATACACATTTATGCCAAAAGCTAAATTTCCTGACATTTCTTCAGAACGACTTCATACATTTATACATTAAGCATTTATGCAACATGATTTACAACTGCACAGAAGAGCGCTGGCAATAACAAATAACAAAATGATCTATTTCAAATTATTTAAAATTCAGAATGTGACTAAAAAATGTGGGACTTGAATTATTTACAATCTAAAGATCACAGAGCTTTAAAAGAGACAGACAGAACATAAAGAGGAGACAAACCTCTTTATGTATGTATACCTTGAGGAGTATCAAGCGTCACTTTGCTGAAAGTATAATCAGTTTCCAAGTGAAGTCAATGAATCTTTTCCTCCGATTAAAAGTTTGCAGCTCAGTGTTTTTAACAGCTCAGATCCCATCATCACAGTTTTCAGGTCAATTTGAAACTCGAGTGGCTCGTCACGGAGCAGGTGGATGAGGAGGTGGATGCTCACGGAGCAGGTGGATGTACATACCGACGGAGAGGATGGCCAGTCCCACACATGTGTCCGCAGCTGGGGACAGTTTGGAGATGAACTCGGTCCTGTTTTCACTCAGAGACATCGGTTGTTGCGGCTAAAAACTCCGGACTTGTCTCCAAAGGACTTAAGTGTGTGCGTGCATGTGCATGTACGTGTGTGCATGTGTGTGTGTGTGTGTGTGTGTGTGGAAGCAGGCTCACTTTCTTATATGGAGGCGGGAGTGTCGCCATGGTAACCGTCAGTACCAGCTGACCAGAGGACAGGCAGCAGGAGTTTGGAGTCCTGGTGGTGAAAAGGTGTCACTGCAGCCTGTGTGACAGAACATTAGACTATCCAGCATCACAGGGTTCTGATCACACCCTTCAGACAGGAATATGGTTCTACTTTTTTTCAGCAGTTTAGCTGTCAATCTATCTGTCTATCTATTGTTCTGTCTTTCTTTCTAAACAGGTCAGAAGCAGCTCTGCAGCCTTGAGTTATGTCTCGGGGAGAAAACAGAGTAGTTCCTCCTTCATCAGCGAGCGGTCACACAGTGGAGACGTGTTTATCTTGGGGTCAGTGATCCAGAGAAACACCAGATACAGGGCCAGCCCTGAAGTGGCCTCACGTGTTGCAAATCACGATGCACAACTGTACACGTTTCCCACGAGAGATGCTGGATGCTGTTGATGCTTTTATCTGCCCTGAAGGATTGATTCCATTTCATGTTTCATAAACCAAACATAGATCTTCGGGAAAAGACGGTTGAATGTCTCACACACTTCTGCTGCACTCAGGAGCAAGATCAGAGTCAAAATGGTTTGGACTCACTTTATCTTCTTATATCAACGTTACGTTTTCTTTTTAAAAGGTGCAGGGTTATGAACGTAGACGTTTTTATTGTGGAGGAATATTAAAATAAATTGGTGTATCTGTTAAGTTTTAGACTCACAGGATGAGAGGATGTTTTCATTTTCAACATTTTAGAAATGTGATTTTTTTGTGTCATTTGTTTTTTTCTTTTTTCTCCAGCTCAACTCAGGTTTACTTTGAAAAAGAAAAAATGACCTCATAAATAAAAAGATTACTGTTTAAGCATTTATCCATTTGTCATATTAAGCACTGGTCAGGAATTTTGTGCTGACCAAAGGCATAGCAAATTATCTTGCACCACCTACTGACCTCCACAATGTACTGCAGGCGAACACATATTTGCAAAGGGGGAAAAAAAAAAAAAAAAGGAACAGAACAGGCTGATGGTTCCGTTTTGAGTACAAAGATAAAATAGACTTTATTTGATGGTGAAACCTAAATAAGATCTGCGATCAGAAGACAGGTTCGTCACGCAGGCTTCTTTTTCAACGTCACAGAGGCTGGAATGCTGTACTGACAGAAAGGCATCAGAGAAGACTGGACCTTAAATATGAATTTAAGAGAGCAGACACACCCAGGCTCAGAGGGAACACCATTCAATTACTAAACAAACTCTCAGAGGTCTTTCCTATGATCTGTGGCAGTCAGATTACATCAATAAGCACGTTAGTCAACCTCCAACATCAGAACATGGAGAGTAAAAGCGTGTGCAAGGTTATAAAGTCTGGATTAGAGGATTAAAGATTACTTGTAAGATTTTCTGGTGTTAAAATGAAGGTCTTTATATCACTAAGTCATAACGAGACTGTTAGGATATAGAAACTCATAGATACACAAAATCAGTCGCGTGAATTGTAAAAAAAAACCAAAAAAAACAGCTCGGTGGTGGTAACAGCTTTGATGGAGATTAACATTTATGCTCCTATAAGCAGTGACTGCACTTTCCTAGACCACAGAGACATCACACTGTACATACAATATTAAACTGAGTGGCATTTCCCTTTAAGTAGCCTCCAGATTGACATATACACAAATACGCACTCATCTAATACACACTCAAGCACATCCTGCATTGGAAAGAAAAAGTATTTGCCTCGTCGACACTCTAGAAAAATATATAGCACTGTAGGTCTCATGTTTGTTTGTTGTAATTTACAAATACTTCAATTGTTGGGGAAATGTTTGCTTTCTTGCTGAGTTTGGTGAGAGGGTCGCACACTCCTCTTAAGAAAAATGAAGCTACAGTTAGCTTAGCTTAGCATGAAGAAGAGGGGGTCCAGCTTGTCTTGTTTATTTAATCTGTACAAAAACCATAATGAATTGTCATGACCCAGACCATTTCCTGACTGGGACAGAGCTTAGCTAGCAGTTTCCTGTCTGACAGCTCCCATAAAGAGAAGAATCTCGATCACCCCCTAGTGGCTGGCTGCAGTATAGCTCATAAACAAAAAGTCAAAATACTTGTGAAATATAATAAGATGATTTCTTGTCATTTTGTGTAGTTCTTATCACACAATTGCTCATTTTTTCCAGCAAGTTTGGTTTTAATTGGTTATTTGATGCTATAAAAACGAGTGAAACATCTTGATTGACAGCTGAGCCTGACTCACGATTGGGTAACGGTGGGACATCGATGCACAGACTGGCTTCCTATTTTGTTCAGACAAAAATATTTACCGACACCTGCAACACAAACAAATATTTTTTACATTTACTCGAATAATTGTGAACCAGTTTTAACTGCACCGTCTCAACTAGAGTCATTCATTGATTTAACCATAGCTGGGATCATTTTGTCTTTAACGTCTTTGGCCTCATTCACCCATATCCCCAGAGATTCATCTTCCAGCTTCTCCTGCTTCTGACAACAGCCCTTTACTGTACATTAATGGACACTAACTGTCTTAACTATGGGTCTGGTCCCATTTGCCCCACATACTCCCAAAGTCTGCAGTACATTTCTTCCTTAAGGTTTTGCACCCATGTGTTGGCAGCAAGTGGGAAAAGCACATTTAAAAAATAGACATCTTTAAATAGCTATTCAGCTCGTCTAAGTGCAGCACAATCGGAAACATTGAATTCAAGTCATAATTATTTTCTGCCCTCCCCCGTGTATCATACAACGAATAGAACAAATAAAATCCTCTTCAGTTAAGAAACTAAATGTGAAAGGATAAATCTTTGATCAGACAAATAAACAATATACTGTTGCCACACTGTCACATCCAAAAATAGTCTTAGGTTGAAATATATATTTTTTTTTCTGCCAAAGAAATGCTGGCGTTCTAAGTCACTCTAAGTAGATGTAATATACTGCTGAGGTGTAATTTGTGTTATTCCGTCTCCGTCAATCCTCCACTGACGGTCCTGCACACGGTGTCAAACCGGTACGGAATAAAAAAAAAACATCCGGTGTCATTTGTCACATGGAGTGCTCTCATTGGCTGCCACACTGACGTCAGGCTCTTTGTCGTCTGTGGCGACGGCAGCAGCAGTAGGACGCTTGTCCTCGGCGTCATCGTTATTACTACTGCTGCTATTGTTGTTGTTGTTGTTGTTGTTATTGTTGTTCTGGAGCCCGTGGCTGTTGTTCTGGACCAGGGCGCTGTCGCTGAGTCTCAGCTCGTCCAGCTTCTTCCACAGCTCATCCCTCTCCTGCTCCTTCTTCTTCTCCCTGAGAGGAAAACATTTTAAATACGTTTTACTTGTGAGCACTGCAAAAATATTAGGTATAAATAGGACATGACTCAAATTCTGTATTTTATCACACTTTTATCACACACCTGACTAAAGCTTTATCTGGATGTGATCCAGAAGGGACCCCTGGAAGAGGGTTATATAAAAAAAATATATAATAACAAACTCTCCTTTGTTCATGACTCGTGAAAAACCAAACTGTTTGCTATATTTTTGCATTTGTCTTGTTTTGCATTTTATGTTACTTCCTCGAAGCTGGTTTATTTTTAAATGTCGTTTGCATGTTTGTCTCTGAGCCACATTACTCAGAAACTATTAAAAGATTTCTATGAAATTTTGTGGTGATTTGGACCAATGGAAGATTCCATTCATTTCTGGAGCAGACGTGTTTCTGCAGGGGTTTAAGACATTTTAATACCAATTAATTACCACAAAGTATTGGGTACTCACCGTTGTCTATCTGCTTTATAGGAGGACGTCAGCTCATCAAACAAAGTACAGTTCATCTCCATCAACGTCTTCAGCACGTTATAGACCAGAGCTACGATTGTCCTGCAGAGAAACGCTGGCATCAGTCACAGTGTTAAACTGTTTATCACAACATTTAATTTCACTTCTAATAATAGAAAAATGACTACAGCTGTTCTGTAAATTACAGCCAGTAAGTTCTTGAATGCTGTTGTTTCAAATGTGTTTTTAAAAAAAACTCTGCACCACAAATTACTTTCACATCCACTGTTTTGAAGGAGGCAACTGAAACCTCAAAACATGACAAAAAATGGAACAATGTACATAATCACAACTGAATAAGATGTGTTTGATAACAACAGCGGATCTGAATACCTCAATAAGAGTTACAATGGTAATTTAGCTTAGCAAATGTTTCTGTGTATGAATTATAGTGAAATCAGTCTGAATACGTACGGGTTCCAGTGCTCCTTGGAGATTCTGTAGAGGCTACCGAACATGATGGGAAGGACCCTGTCTATGTTCTCTTCAATGAGGCTGAGGATGTACTCGTTATTCCAGAAGTAAAGCGCTCGCTCTGCTACCTGAGAGGACACAGACAAAAAAAAAAAAAAATTAAAACCGACAGATGGAGAAATGAATGAGCCTTCTGCTGAATACGCTTCACACCTGACAAAGGAACTTGTGAATGGACGAGAGGACAAAAGCCTCTTTCAGACCTTGCTGATGATTTAAAGTCTGTTTTCATTCTCACCTGAAAGTGTGGATTGGCCACGCATCTAGAAATCTGTTTGAACAGCGGCTCCTGGATTTTAATGAATTGTGTCGGCTCGATGACGTCCAGAATCTCCTCAATTTCACCAAGAAACATCACCTAACGGGATAAGATGTTTAGAGTATGAAGCAGAATGTTAACAACTGTAATAAGTGTATTTACACAGACATGCAGAGTACCTCTTTCTGGCTGCAGGTTTTAGGCCAAAACTTCAGCAGGCCACGGATCACCTGCACAGACAAAATAGAATTTTTCTTTAATGTCAAAAAACACTTCAACAGTCTGTTTGAGTGGGTGGTTACTAGCACCTGCTACAAATTCCTCTGCATTGTTGACTAATTTATTGCTTGAGAGTTTGAGCTTTGAGTGGGTGGAATGACTTAAAAACAGAAAAAAAGTACCGGTTCAGTGAGCGTAGGATCCTTCTCCAGGAACTGAACCACACAGTAGGCCAGCTGAGTGATACAGAAGAAAACACATTAATGTACAGTCTGTACCCACAACACTGAAAATCAACTCAATAACACTTCATAAAACAGTGAAGATTGTCAGGAGATGCAACCGAGGCACTGGCATTTATTGATGATTTCACTGCAACAGGACAATGATCCTTATCTAAATGCTGAAGAAACCCATGAATTCAGGAAGTGGAATATTCTCCGCTGGCTGAATTATTCACCTGATCTCTCCTGACTTAAGACAGAGAGACTCCACAACCAACGAGAGCTGAAGGTCGCTGCAGTGAATCCTGGGAGAGCATCACCACAAAAAATATAAAATGTCTGCAGGTCAAAGACTGTGAGGAGTCATTGACAGCAAAAGAGCCTGAAGTGAAAAATGTCCAAATCCATTCAATCTGGACTGTGATCATTTTATAAGTTCTCACTGTGATACTGTGAGAATCAATGTCAAATAATAAATCAATGAGCCAGTGCATTTACATTTCAAAGCCACTAGACGGTGCTGTAGTAAAGAGATTACATGACAGTGTTAAATCCTGATAAGACAATAACTAAAGACAGTTTGTATAAATTCTCTAAAGTCTTTTTTAATCAAACATACATCAATATTTTATTACAAACCCACGGCTTCCAAACAAACACATTGTCTGACAATGTGAAGCAAACATTCATGTGATTCATGACAGGATAATAGATATAATGTTGAAGACAGTTTTTCCTACTTGAGCGTGGAAAAGCGCCAGTCCTTTAGCTGTGTGTAACGGGATGAGCACTTTCATCAGGAACTGTTTGTGCTCGGCCTTCAGAGGTAACGCAAAGCCGTTGATGATACTGTAAACAGAGCACAACGGAACCATGTCAGATTACAGCAGCTAAAAAACAAATACTGCAGGACGAGAGCAGAGCATAGATGTGAATATACCCAGTTCCTGAAGAGGAGAAGAAATATGAAGGGAATTCAAAGTAGAAGAAAAAAAGAGCCCTGAGGCGACTTTTAGTTTGAGACAGCGAGAGAGCAAAAGTCTTCTACATCATCAGAAAGAGAACTTTCTGCACAAGCCAATTTAAAACCTTAAACCCTGGACTTTGTCTCAAGCAAAACTATGGTAGAATAAAACAGATCTGCTTTCTTTCATACTGATGATTAAAAAACAAATATTGAGAAAACATGATTATAATAATATAAAAATTGAAAAAAAATCCAACCAACAGTTAAAAACTCAAAGAATTCACTTAAAGCGAAATATCAAATCCTCTCGACTTGAAAAATAACTAAATCAATAATACAATATCAAAAATGATTAATTTTCTGTCTATTTCCAACATGACCAACTTTATGTCACCTGCACACACATGGTTACTCACCTTCCCAGGATTTCTAGCAGCTCAGCGACTCCGTTGAAGTGGTCGGTTTCATAGATGAACCTGTGAAAGCCACAAACATATTGACGACAGAAATTATGAAACACACCACGGCATCACAACTCTAAAAACAGAGCTCACTGCTGGGAACAATTGATTCAGGCCACTGCCGTGTTCTTTTTATACATCGTCAGCCTCACGTAGGAGTTGGATAATAGAATTTCACTGGATTCTCACACATGCAGCCCACTACTCTGTAAAATTAGTCTGTTTCACGCCCCTTCCGCCTCAAAGGAATCTGTCTGTTTGCATGTGTGCTGCCATTAAAGTATCACAGACAGCAAACAGTGATCACTTGAGAATAAAAGCTTGAAATCATCTGATCCAACATTAAAATATTTATGATTTGATTATCATTATGGTTTGGCGATAAGGCCAGCAATTATATCAACCAGTCAATACTCGTCACATTGCTACTTAAAAACAGACTTTTGCTCCTGAGAGAAGTTTGTGGTTTTAAACTCTTCTTCAGATGATGACAAACACTTGACAAACAGCAAAACATTTGACAAATCTGAGGTTGGTCGATTACGTGTTAGATCTCTTGAGTTTGAACGATGCATACAAATTATATCGACTTTGGACTTTTGTTATATTTAATCATTTTTTATATTATTTTATTGCCCAGCCCTAATAATCAGATTGACACTGCTGACAACAGTTGGTAAGAAATATCACTGAACATTTCTCTCATTCAATGATTTGAAGATTCAAATGTCAAATGCCTCAAATCCCTCTCCGCTAAATTACTGTGATGCTCTTTATTTTGGTCATCCTTTGTCTCATTTGCAGCGGCTGACTGGTACCAGGAGATGAAACAACAGCATCTCCGCTGCACTTGCTTTCCTGCATTGACTTATATGTTTTCTAAGCTTTGCATGTCCTGGTGCCTCAGTGCATCTGTGAGCTTCACTTCCCCACCGTGACCATCCCCATAGTGGAAAATGGATCATATTTAGACATAGGAAAAATTATTTAAATTGCCGCTGCTCTTACGTAACTTAACGATCATACATCATTCACCTCCTGTTTGCTAACCCATGTGTGTGTGGTATGTACAGATAGAGCCTGGCAACTGTGGCACTATTTTTATCATAAGTGGCAGATGGTTAAAGTGCGTGCACCCATTTTACCACGTTGCCTGTTGTTAACGACATCAAGTGTCCCCCGTTTCAATCATCTGAGGCCCATTGTCACGCAGCAACAGGAGCAGTAAAGAGTCAAAGTGCTGCAGATTGGAATAGGAGGTCTCCATCTGCATTACTTTTTCTGCTCCCTCAGTTTGTGATGAATTGGTGTTAAAATTATATATTTCTTGGATGGCTCATTGCACAATAGGGTAGAGTGAAGACCAGGACTAGAAAATCCATCCCGAACCTTAAGGGAGCTGTTGGAAGATTTTTTTTTTTCTGGAATCATTGACTACTGCTGTGAAATAGACAGTTACCCCTGGAATGTACAAATGCAAACTGTATCAGACTGATGGGAAAGTGTTGAGAGCTGTGTCTTATAATAAACCTTACTGCTGCATTTTCCTCTCCATTGTAGAGCTTTACTTACTTCAAGAAGATATTGTTGATCTGCTTTCTGATGAAGGCTCGTAAGCCCAGGAACTTTCCGTAAATCCGATGCAGGATGGTCTTCAGAAAGTCCCTCTCCCTCGGGTCCTCACTGTCAAACAGCTCCAGGAGCTAAAAATAAAGAGAGAAAATAACAAACACTAAGTTCTCAGTCCAGATTTGTTTGAAAGGTCTTAAAATTAACTGAGGGATTTAGAAGAATTGATATTAAAATTGATATTTCAACTCAGTGGAGGCAACGCTTTCACCTCAGTCTGTTTTTTGCTTTTTATTAGCCGTCAGCAAGATCACAAAAACAACACCAACAGATCCCCCGAAACAAGACCGAACCAAATAATTCAGTTGTCCAATTATGTAATCAATCATGTCGTACAAGCCATCAGCATCTCATAAAAAAATCATAAGGTATTTCTGCCTGTATAATCTATAATGTAACATCTGGGATAAATTTGCAGCAACATGTAATGGTTGAGGGCGGCCAAGTCACTGCCAGAGAGTTCAGAAGGAATATCTTCAGGCTCAGATTGGTATGATACTAACATGCCACCAGCTCCTCGGCGACAGGGCTGTCCGTCTATTTTTAAACCTGTGTACATCAAGGAAACGTGTTTTGTTATGCACACATGTTCTCCTCCAGCACATTGCCAATTCACATTCACTGAGCTTCATTAAACCTTTTAAGCCGTAGGAGTTAAACAGTGTAACCAGTCTAACACCTAACCAATGAGCAGCTCTCGTCACATGTGGTAACCGGGGCTTTGTTCAAGGGCAACACGATGGTTGTTTTTTTCCATTCTCCATTCAAAGATTCTCAGATCATCGCCCAAACAAGATGTGAGGTGAGCTGTAACTCTCTACCATCACCTTCAAGAGATAATGATGCAGACAATAGATGGATCGTCACAACACATACCTACTACCAGTGTCATAAATAACTCTGGGAAAATATATTTTTTAAAGTTTTCTGACATTTTACATTATACTGCAGATTTAACCTTAACAGAAGTAGTTGAGGTAACACATGTATTGCCTCATGAAATATATATATTAGAAGGAAAGACACTCAATGTTTTGGTAAAATGTGTTTCCTTATGAACATGACTGACGAGATGAGATGTGACTGCTCACAAGTTAATCAATAATGGCAAAATGGGAAACAGACGTCGGACCCGACTGTTATAAAACGAAAGCTGCCACAGTATAATTCAGAGATGCTGTTTGTGCCGGAGGTGATGTCAATATTCAATCACAATAGGTCACACTGTGATTTGAGTTTTCTCCTGAGTCCCTGAAAACCCCAGAGGTATGATTTATTTACTTTGAATAAAAAAAAAAGTAATTACCGGGCAACATCTTTGTCTGTGAGATAGAGATAAAAGATAATTTGTTTACTTATGGGCCACAGACATATTGAAGTCAAATCAAGTCAATCTCTTTTAATTTAATGTGTTAGATAAAAAGATCATCCACAATGAGAACAATCAGGTCATTACTGAAATTAATTCAGTAATGACCTGAATTAATTTCAGTAATGACCTTGACTAAACTCTGACCTGCCAAATTTGATTGAGGTAAAGACATGACAATGACTTGGGTTGAAATAATGACTGTAACAACTATCAAGTGAAGTGGTTTTCTATTTACATATAAAACCTCAAGCTCTGACTATCTGAACAATGTCACACTAAAGCCTGAGGTTAAACTGCAAGAAGCCTGAAACTAAATCTTTGCGAAGAATTATTTAGAGATTGAAATTATTTGTCTTTGCTGGTTGTGAGAATCAGATAATTAGACTGTTCTCACACTTGATTCATAAGCTTCTTTCTATGAAGATGATTGAACCAGACCAAAGCTGCTTTCAGACAAGCACTGAAGTCTAGATATTTTATTGAAATTTTCCAGAGGGCTCTACGTTTGGTTTGTTAATGAAATTTCTAACATGAGATGGGCCCAAAACTGGAGGAATTCAAATATCCAAGGATAAAAAAAAGGTGCCAGATATGTAGAAGACGCGGACTAAGATGTCACCTCGGGAAGGCAACAAGTTGACGCTACATGCCGACGCCAGTGTGGATGTCCTGTAAACAAAAACTTGTGCTCTCGGAACGAACATGTCATGTCCTGTCTCCTGCCTGGTCTTCCCAGCCGCCACCCCTAACCTGAATGTGCTGGAAATTCTCATGTTGTTGTGAATGTGTCTGACCCAGACATTCTCCTGTTTCGCTGTGAAAGGCAAACTTGTGTCTGAAAACACCTACATATACATGTCCTGGGTAGCACCTCTTTAAAAAATCTGTCATACAGATTTTGGACAAAACTACCACCCACAGTTTGTGGAGGAAGCGAGGCACCAGTCTCACTTCACACTCACCCGATGTAGGGTAGGTCATTGCTTTGGAAATCATACATATACAAAACAGTGTGTTTACAGTTCAGTTGCCACTGATCCAACATATTCTGTATGTCAGGTTTGGGAATACCCACTGCAATGAATTACTGACTGTAAATGTTTTATTTTCATAAGCATCTCAATTTCTAACCGGAGCATTTCAGTAACTGCTCATAAAGAGGGCCGCAACATTTACCTGAGGAAAAAACTGATAACAGAGACTAATAAAACTCTTCTTCCAGGGCTGATACAGTTATGGGTTTAAAATAAACTGAGAAAAACAGATGCATCATGCCAACACACGGGCAGATACACTTCACATGATTTAACCAGTGCTCCCTAAGGAGTAAAAAACCCTAAATACACCAAGACCATGTGTCTGACCACACGTTCTGCTCTTAGCTCCACATATGGTTGTTTTCCCATGTTGAAGGTTGTTTTCTGCAGCAGGATCAGCAGCACCAGAGCAGTGTTCTGCGTTATAACTTATATATATAAAAAATATTCCATAAACTAATGATTATGATCAGGAGCTCGGGCCAAGGGGCTGTGCTGAGAGCCAATTTAAGGAATATGCCAACGACTAAGCTGCATATTTCAGGGATTCTGTAGGTTTCAACAAGTTCAATTTAAGACTTTCAAAGACAATAAATGAATTAAATTTACCAAAAACCCTGATAGTTGTTTTTGCTACTTCAATCACTGCTTCCTTGTGAGCCTTCCACATACCAACAGTTTAGCCTACTTATCAATTTACAACATCTCCCGGCTAACATTTACAGAATGTGTTTGTAGTAAACTCTGTGGAAGAATTGGAGAACAGGTTCAGCTGATAAAATCAAAGTTGACAGCAAAACATTCAGCAAAACAGTAGACTGCTCTGCTCCATGTTTTTTTGGTTAACCCAAAAGAGTGGCGCAGCAAGAAAAAAACACAATAACAGAGATGCCTTGACAAATAGTGTACAGTGCAAATGTCAAACACTTGATAATGAATAAAGGTCACAACAGGTTTTGCTTCAGAACGTTGGTATGGTTATGGTGCAAAATAAACATGAAAACCAGGATATGAAAAACAATGATTCCCTACTTTGAAATGTAGGGAACCTCGAGTTCTTTTCCTTGCTCCTTGTGCTTCAACTCGTGTGGTGAATATGTTGGTGTATATCTCAGAACCGTTCTTGATCTGTGTGTGTTACAGTGAATTAAGTTAACTAGACCACAGGCCTTCTGCCTTTACTGCCACCCAAACCTCCACCTCATCCCATAGCTGAGTTGGGCTTCTCTCCTCCTGAAGAGTAAACAACAGGCGGCTATTTAAAGCTTCCCCAAGACGCACTCACATCATGGAAAGTCGGCGCAGGCACCTCGGATGTGGCCCAGCCAACATTCCAGGGCTCTGTGGTCCCTGTTAGCTGCTGCTCTTCTCTGCAGCTTCACACAAATCCTGAAGCATTCCTGAGGTAGGTGGGTACGGAGCAGGAACAGATGTCGATGATCTGCAGCTTATTAATGGTTTTACTCATCTGATAAAATTAGGTGTAGGTTTGGTGAAGTCCAAAGAAGCGTAATTTATTTAGCATTAAGTAATTCTTATCATTTCACCTAATATTTTTTGCAGCCAAGAGATGTCAAGTACTTAAATAATTAAAAAACTTGTTTTCCAAGCAAATAAAAAAACTTTAAAGGTTTTAGTTTCTCAAATGTGAATATTTTCTTGTTTCTTGTCATTGTAAATCAATTATAAACTGAAGATCAACTGAAACAAGACACATGAAGACATCATGCAACGGTCCCTTTTTACAATTTTCTCTCTTGTACAGTAATCATCAGTTGTTGCCCTGGAGCTGTCACAAGACTCCCAGTGGTCTGCTCGTCGCCTCCTCTAATAATTATGACATGATGTTTAGCTGCTACTGCTGTAGCATTACACTTCTCTTCTGACTAACAGAGAAAAATACTCTAATACCTCCCACCTACAAATATTTCCTATTTACTGAAACTACAGACAGCTTTTTTATATATATATATATAGTGCATATTTATGTGTTGGCTGGTCCTACAGGGGATGCGATGGCTGGGAAATATGATATGAGTAGAAAGTATTGCAATAAAGCCAGTTAGGTTTGGAAACCTGCTGACAGATTTACATATTATCAAGAAACATCTGAGGTCATGCAAAATGTTTTCATAGAAAGTGAGTCACCTGCAGAACAAATTTCTGATCAATGTAGCGCTTGGCAATGCTGGGCTGGAAGTCTGGATTTTCTAGAAAACGCAGCAGGAATTCGTAGACCAGCTGGAAAACAGAGAAAAATTCAAAACAAAACAGAAATATGAACTTTGTAAGTATTCTAACACACAATGATTGAAATCTAGTACAGACATACTTAAGTAACAGATTCTTACTTGTATGTGAGGCCATGAGGCCTCTAGAGTGGGTTCATCCTCTTCTGGGTCAAAATCAGGGTTTTCACTCGGGGGAAGAGTCCGGAAAATGTTGGTGCAGATCTAAAGGGGGAAGGACAGAAAGAAAGGGTTAACTTCCCAGCAGAGCGTGAGATGACATGTAGTCAGGAAACGATTTCTGAGTTATTCACAGATGTGATCCTTTACTTAAATATGCAGACTCATAATGAATAGAAAGCTAATGAAGTTTTACAGCTGACCTTTTTTTCCAACAAAACATGGTTTCATCAAAACTACTTTCTGGGCATCCACAAAACTTACAAAAACCAAAGCTACCCTAATAGTTAGCAGTACAACAACTTCATAAAAATGCATTTAACATGTACGTTTTTGTTTTGTCCATGTGTTATTCACTAACATGGAGGAGGTGGAATTAATGACAAATACTGTACTGTAGCCAACCAGCAGGTGGCGATCGAGAATCTTTAGTATCACTATCGGGGAGCTGTCAAATCAACAGTCTATGTTCTCTATACCTAACCTTGACAGTTTCAATACACTGCTCTGAATTCTCCCAAACGTCTGGTACAACTCGAAAGAAGAACAAAACAAACACACATGATGCTGCCTGGTAACTGGAGTGGAAAGAAACCTTATCTATGGAATATTTATGACCATGTTTAATTTCACTGAAGATGTTAGAAAACTGTTTTGAATGTCCTCAAAACACAGAGAGGAGCTGGATAAAATAAGTACAGATTCTGCATCTGCCGCAACCCTCGATTAAAATTCTGCACCGAAGACAATTGTTGTAGACAGGTTACCGCTGCCTCCGTCCTACCTTGTTATTTTTAGCCCGGGTAAATTTAAGAGTGACACACACACACACACACACACACACAC